ATATATTTTTAATATAGTTATTGTTTTTCTTGACATTATCCATCTTCATGTTTTTATATAAAACACAAAATGTTCCAGAGACTGGATTCTGTCACCATTTTCAGGTGGAATCTACTCAGTTGCTCCCAGTCGATAGAGCTGGTCCCTATCTCCTGACACCAGCACCATGTAAGTCAAGCAGAGCACAACCCATCTGCGAGAGTTAAGACAATCTTCAAGAACATTAAAAAACGCCAAACATCACCTATGATCATGAGCTTTTCAGGGCTATTGTTATTAAAATCAGAGCACTAGCAGAATAGAAATCATCACCAAAGAGGCAAATTTTCTATATGGAACCAACATAAAAACACACTTTTCACACTTAATCTACACTGGACGGAATGATTATGACAGATGTTACATCGACGAAACAAATAGGCCTTTAGAAGTACGCATTAAGGAGCACATATGTAACCTGATCCAAGGTCTGTGTGAAAAATCAAAATTGGCTCCACATGCGCACGAAGAAGCCACAGAATATGTTCGAAAGAAGCAAAGGTCTTGCAGATTGAACGAAACACCACATACAAGAGATAAAAGGAATCCGCCCACATGTCTGTGATAGATCATCCGATTAGTCGACACGACATGGACATATCTACCATCTGGACTCACAACTCGTATGGAGGCGGGGTCGAATACCTCCACCGTAGCCATGCGAGTTTTAGAAGGCGACGAAAAGGGAACCCAGTGCCTGGGGTATAACCGGGCTATCCCTTTCCTGGGGATGTAAATACGGTGGCCTGACCCTGCAGCTCGGGGGAGTCTCGAATCCGAGACAGTAAAATTTGGTCATGAGTTCCGCGGGACTCGTACCTGAGAATAACTGAGCTGGTGAGGACCAGCAGCGATTGTAAACGATAGACCCATCCTCTCGTCAGAGAGGATGTTACATTAGGACTAAACCGCAAGTGTAAAAAAGTAGGTAAAGGTATCCACAACAGGCCTGTTGTGATACGTTGAAGTTCCTACATTTTCTAGACAGTCGGCTCACAGATGGCGGTGAGGTTGTCAACCTCACGCGCCGACCGTGATACATAATAGATAAAAAAAAACTGGCAGAGTTGACATATTTGGGAACGAGAGTAACAGAACTAAATTTCATTCATGAGGAAATTAAGAGCAGATTGAATTCGAGTAACGCTTGCTACCATTCGTTTCAGAACCTTTTGTCTTCTCATCTGCTGTAAGAAACGTAAGATAGAAAAATTTACAAAACTAATTTTACTTTTAGTTTTGTATGGGCGTGAAACTTGGTCTCTAATATAGGAAAATATATAAAGACTTAAGGTATTCGTGAAGAGGACGACGAGGATGAAAATATATAGAACGAATAGCGATGAAATGGTAGGATTTTGGAGAAAGCTGCATAATAAGGGGCCTCAACTTTTACTCCTGGAAAAATATTGCTAGAATTATCAAGTTAAAGAGGCTGAGAAGGACAGGGTATGTATCCTTACATTTATTAGCAAAATCTGAGAGGAACATAAAATTACTTGGGTCACGAAAGCCGGTGCTCTGACTCAGAATTTAGCAAGTTTCCCTGAATACTGGTAGACGTTCTGTGCAATACTCTGTTATACGTTAAGGAAGATGAGCCACGTTTCGTGACACAGATTTACCCTGGATATCGACTGGAATGATTTAACAGTTCAGAAATGTCGCTTAGCCCTTTAGGGCACTTCCTGTTGGCGTTCAGTGTGGAACTCACTACAGTACAGTATAGAGTCGTGAGTAAATACTCAGAAATGTAAACCCTAGACAAGCAGCACGTGATTCAAATAAAACATTTATTCTCTTAGACGTTTTGCATATCGCAGACGGAAACAAAATTAGAAAGGAACATACACGTTTTCACCGGTTTCTTCTGCTCTTGCCCCTCACCCCCGTAAGGGAGAAAGGTGTTGCATTTGTCACATACCACAGAGAGATAAAAAGGAAAGGGTATACGTAAGAGAATTTTGTTTAGAAAGTAGCAAATCTGACAGAAAACTAAGAACCTTCGGATTACCTTTACTTGTTTGCTATAACAGCTCCAGATACAGTGATTATCTTCGTGATTTGCTATTGACAGTTTCAAAATGTGTTTATTTTTTTTTTTCAGAATATGAGATTGTTGTATTTGTAGCATTAGTCACAAGATATTCCGGAAGTATGATCCCGTGATAACTGTCTTCTACGCTTCGAGTCAGAGAAAATAACGAATAGCAAGAAATTCTGGGAAGAACTGATCAACTGCTTTCCTTTCATGCGACACGGACGGCATAGAAAACGACGCATACAGAAATTCCTCTATTGTTGCGTGTGTATTCGTTGCCACGGTAACTTTTTTCTTTTGCCGAGCCATTGCCTCATAAAGATAGGAGAGAATACACATAAACACAGACGGATGGATGGGATTTATGAAGTACGAACGTTTAGATGGGCTCAGGTGCCATTTTGTACATACCGAGTTTCATAAAGATTGGTTCACGCATTCGAAATTTGATGGGGGAGGACACACACACAGAGACAGCATGTTGTTAGCATAAGCCTGCCTTTATTTATTTAAATAAGAAAAGTAGACTAAAAATCTTTATATATCTTCTGAGTAAAATTCTAGAACGTAATCGCTACGCCAACTTACTCACTCGGTGCTAGTTCTACAATATAAAAAGAAAAAGTAAATTTCTACCTGTACTTAGTTAAGTACCATCCTATGAGGATATATGAAGAAGTGAAAGTATAGATCCATGAATACTCGACCTCTGCACTCTGTTGAGATGAGTGGTTAGATTTACACCCCAGCCGCTGTAACTCAGCGGAAAGCCCCCCAGTAACCTTTGTGTAGGCCCCAGAATCAGTCTTGATTCTGTGCAGAAGAGAAAGTCTCTTCTCCTACGGAATCGAAGCCCGATCCCTCGGTCGTCTAACCCGGAGTCTAATAACTATTCTGATAAAGTTGTTCCAGTTTCGGAGTGTGCTGACGAGTTTTATGAGCAGTTTCGTCCCGGTCAGGTATGATTTGGGAAAGTTAACTGCAGGGGGCCATGAGAAATTTCACAGGACTGTATTAAGTCACGAATCCATAGGCAGAAGTTGATGAGGCCATTTTAGGTCAAACGTCACTACCCATGATTTCTTGCTATGAATAGTGAAAGTAAGTGTTTTGTTCTGTAGGGTCATGACACAGAACATGATTGACTCGCGAAAGCAACACATGTATCATGGCGCTGTCATGTTGTCAGTTTCGTAGCATGAGATTAGCCTCTCAGTTGTTGCAGTCGGACCTCCTTTGGGCGAAGAAATATTCAGATGTTATTGTGAAAGTTCTGGGATATGATACGCCTCAAGGTTCAGACATATTTCCCACGTAAAAAGTGAATATTGATTACTTTGCTTCGCTTCATTCTTGCGTCTGGTGAAGTCCTAGTATAAAGCCCAATTGAATTTTAAAGGACGGCTCTTAAAGGAAGAATTCTTCAAAACCCAATAAATTTGAAAGTTCTGAAAAGAAAATCCATCAAGATACTTTACAGAATAACAGTATGCACTACACGATGTTTCCCTTTAGATAAAAAATTTCCAGCCAAAGTGGACAAAAACAGCAACTTAAGAATAATTTCACGTGTATTAGTGACTGTAGACGGGGTTTGGATTGGTGAATAGATTTATTGATCATTTACAGGTCGTAACTACAAATAACTGTAACACTGTTGCTGATTTCCACAATACAAATCACTCCACAATAAGTCTTCTATTTCATGTAATAGCTTATTAGCAAACAGTGCAGATACATACACCGGTATAAGGAGTAGCTACATTCCTGGAAAATACCGCACAAAACAGACGAGAAAACAATACAAATTTCTCATAGATTCAATGTTACGGGTTCTGTTTCTGGGCACTAAAAACTGAAATAACTTAGTAATAATGTAGGATTCGAGGTTATCACAGCGGTGGTTATGAAGAGTCATATTTTCTGGGATGTGACTCTGTGTATTCCGTTGAAAGTCAGCCGACGTTTCGGAAGAACATGCCGCCTCCATCTTCATGCTTGAAACATAAGCCAAGGAAGAAACAGCCATGAAGTAGGTATCAAGCAGAACAATCCGCTTACCGAAAGTTCGCTTGCTACCTGCTTCACTTTGTTTTTTTTTCCTTTTTTATTCTTCGAGCCTGAAGATGGAGGCGATATGTTCCTCAGAAACGTCTTTTGAATTTCAGCGGACTACACAGAGCTATATACTAGGAGACAGAACTGTCAAACTGTAGTAAAAAGGTGGTGAAAAATAGTGTAACCCTAAATAATAACCTTAAATGTTTGGCTTAAACTAAATAAATGCTATTTATTAATACTAGGTTATTTTCCTCTTTGTTAATGAGGCTTGTATAAAGCAAGCCTCCACGTGACAGCTACCTATGAAATTAGTGAAGAGGAGGTACAACCAGCTGCTGATATGTGGGGATGCAGGGCATTAACAAACCAGGTATATACCAAAATGTTGAAATCGATGGATTTAAGTCCTGCTACTCCATATTCGAAATCTCTGGCAGCATACATATTTGTCCGGTGCTGTGGATCAAACCTGCTCAAGCTTGGGAACCGGGTTAGCTCAGTCGGTATAGCTATCGGCTACGGGGTGGACGGCCAGGGGCAGGTGCATGGATTTATCTCTTCTCCACAGCGTCGAGACTTGCTCTGGGGCCCAACCAACCTTCTATCCAGTGGGTACCGGAAGTTACGCGGCCGGGGCTTGAAATCGACCACTCGCCTCAATCTAGTGTCGCGGTCAAGAATGATGGAGGTATATCACCACTCCCCCATACGTCTTCATGTAAGAGTGCTTAATTAATGAAGCACAGGGACAAATTTACCTTCACATATTCCCCGACTCATGTGAAGTTTTCTTGCACCAACATGTGAGAACTTGACTTCTTGAGTAATTCTAGCTGCCTGCATTTCGTGTGTCCAACAGGCAACTGGAATCCGAGCAGCTACTCTATTGAGGAGCTGTTCAAGGCGACTGTTGTAGTTCTGGAACTGGCCGTACTTGAGCAGCGGGCTCAGATACTCGGCGGCATATGTATCTTTGACTTGGGAGGCATCTCAATGCAGCATGCCTGGCAAATCACTCCCAGCATCGCAAGGAGAACTGTGGAGCTCATGGTGGTGAGTTTAACGCACGTCACTTCCAAACAATGCCTTTAATTCCGTGAGACAAAATAATAATAATATTCTGTAGTTCCATCAGGAGCTTAAGCCATCTGCAAGCTTTTTCCATTTGTTCCGATCCGCCGCTAAATACCTCAGCTCAGTCCAACTTCTTCCAGCTTCTCTTCGAGCGGATCCCCTCCAGCTGTTTCTTGGTCTCCCCTTACTTCTCTCCTTGAGGATCCCGCTGAAGCGCGACCTTTCATGGCTGTTCATCATCCTTCCTCAGCGGGTGACCAATCCATCTAAATTTCCGTGTCCGTACTCCATATTCATATTGGGGCACGCGGTAGCGCAGTTTGTTGAGGCACTATGCTGCAAACCGGAAGGTCGCGAGCTCGAGTCCCAATGAGCTGGATTTTTTCAATTGACCTAATCCTTCCCAGCCGCAATATGGCTTTTGGGTTGACCCAGCCTCTAACAGAAATGAATACCAGGAATTTTCCTGGGGGGTTAAGTGCGGCCGACACGTAGAGCTGACAACTTTACCGCCATCTATGGGCCGATTGTCTAGATAAAATGTGAGAACCTCGACGATTCACAACCGTATGGGCCTTCACGGCCTATTACAGTGATAGCTTTACCTCTACCTTTTTTTTTCCTGTGGCGCTACAGCCCCAATTTGGGCCTAGGCCTACCTCCATGAAACTCTCTGTTTCACTTCGGTTTACTAGATCTTACACATACGGTAGGACTCCTTGTGCGAGTGATCAGCTCGTCGCAAGGCCTCTACCTGTAGACAAACACAGAAAAACTCACACAAATATCCATGCCCTGAGTGGGATTCGAACCCACGATCTCGGTTTCCGAGCGAGCGAAGACAGTGCATGCCTTAGACCGCTCGGCTACCGTGACCGGCCTTACCTCTACCTTACCATACCGTATTTATATTTGAGTGTCACAAGATACGCAACGTTATTTGTAATATTTTATTACACCATTAACCTTGTCGGTTTCTCAGGAACGTCATCTCGATTAATAATAACCTGTCGCATTACCTGCAACACTGTCGGTTGAAACGGGTTCTTAACGCTTCCATTCAATTTCCCTAAGAACAGTTATGATTGGCGCCATATGCGCGTACCGCTGCTGGTAGTCTTCAGTTCGTCTAGACGTCATGATCAAGTGTCTAGGGAGGGATCCTGGACTCTCGACCTCACCGAAGTTCTTCGTAGTTATCTTCTGCCCCTCTTAGCAAATAGAACATCTCAGATTATACCATGACCGATTCCATCCACATCTTTCGCAATTCATCATTCATAATCATCCAAACTTTCTATTTTATATAGTCTGAGCTACCGATAGCATCGTTAAAAAACCATAAAGGAATAACTTACTTATATACTTACTTATGGAGCTGAGCCCTTCTTGAGGAGCCACCAAATCTGCAGCTACTCAAGAATTTCCCAGCATTTTATGGAACCCGAAGGTTCATTACCGTGTTCACAAGAGCCCTCCACTGATCCCTGGGCAGTGGCGGAAGAAATCGTAGAATGTAAGTTAGATATAGCGGGAGTACAGGAGGTCAGATGGGACGGAGGTGACATCGCACCAAAGAATAACTAAGTAAATAAGAACCAAAATGGATTACTCATCTTCTCACATACGCATTACAAAATTCCTGTCATGCCGGGAAATAATGCAGAAATCAAGTACATAAAGCCTTGTCAGTATTGTATCCACATTGCTCCGAACATTTGCAAGTGATTCAAAACAAGACGCTTTGAAAGAGTTTTTGATTTTGGGGGCCATGAAGATGTCGCACGGGGCATAATAAAGGGAATGCAACTGGTATTCCGACATCTTTATTTGAAATTCTCGGCCCCAAATTATTTTATCAAAAATGCCGCGTAGGAAGACATACCATTAAGATGTTTCAGACCAGAGAATTAATTCTTGTTGGTGAATGCGCTGCTGTAAACTTTCGGAAATTTAAAGGTAGAATAACTGGCTTTTTGTGAGATTTGAGGATTTCACGGCGGTGACTGTGAAGAATGCCGTCTTCTGGGATGTGGTGCCGTATAGATATTGTGTAAACCGATTTCTCGGAGGAGCGTATCGCCTCCGTCTTCAGGGTATAGAAATCCGCCAGCGAGGAACCAGCGTGGGCAGGTGGCTGCTCACTCCGGTTCCTCGCTCGCGGATTTCTGTACCTTGAAGATGGAAATTATACACTCCTCCGAGACGTCGGTTTACACAATATCTACACGACGCCACATCCCAGAAGACGGCATTCTTCAACTGGATATTTGTTTTGAAGTAATGGATTTCCGGTGGATGTTTCATATCAAAATTGTTAACTGATTTTGGCATTTGAGTTTGAGATTTGCCTCTATTTTGGGTTTTGGGAATTTCGGATATTTCTAATGGAGATTTCGGTGTTCTACTTCTGAGTTGCAGTGAAAGCCTCAAATTTTTTCCTCGCTTCTATTCTTCCATAAGTCTTTCTGTGTTGCTTTGTTTAACCCTACGAATATCGGCTTGGTGTTGTTTGCGTTGTTATTTTTATGTGCCCCATTAGTATGTATGTTCCCATGCAGTTTCTCTAGTCAAGTGCATTCCACTCTATTGTACGAGGCTTGTTTAAGTCATGAACTTTCTCATCATGCGATGACCTAATTTTCGCATGTTATATCCATCCGAAAACTGTTATCATTCAATTTAATTAAGCTTTGATATATGTTATATACNCACAGTAAATTTAATGTACGAGTAGTGTAGTTGGTTGAGGCACTATGCTACAAGCTGGAAGGTCGTGGGTTTGATTCCTGATGAGGTCATTGCATTTTTTTTTTCAATTTATCTCATCCTTCCAGCCGCACTATGGCCCTGGGGTCAACTCAGCCTCTATCAGAAATGAGTACCAGGAATTAATTAAATAATTTTCCTGTGGAGTAAAGCGCGGCCGGCGCGTAAGGCTGACAACCTTACCGTCATCTGTGAGCGGATTGTCTAGATAATGTGGGGCCCTCAACGTCTCACAACCCTATGGGCCTTCACGGCCTGTTATAGGGATACCTTAACTTTTACTTTATTTGTGCTTTTATATGTAATATAGTTATACATTTCTTCTTCTTCAGTATTAGGGGTTAGTCATTTTGTTCTCTATTGAGATATAGTTTTGAAAATAAAAATTAAACACTTGATAGCGATCCTCCGACACGGTATCGGCCCATATCAAGCCCTCTACCTATGCAGAAAAATATGAACAGAGAAAATAATATCCGTGCCCTTAGAGAGATCCGAACCCGCTGTCTCAATATTTCAGCCATAAATTCTTAACGGGACTTTTCCACTAGTGGTATCCAGTTTGTTGTTATTAGTATGTTGAGTTTCCATGCTTGTAACAGGAATCCAGTCCATGACTTCAGCCTTCGAGCGGTCGAGATGACGTAATATAAAAGTTGTGTGACTTCATGGTCACATTTATAAAAACTGACATGACTCATTCGTGAGCTGGGACAAAACTTGTGCGAACAGTCTAGTTATGTGTTGCGGTATAACCGACAAAAGGGCAGTCATTATCATAACCTTTTACACATACGAGTGATTTTCCCTAACAAACATCTTATTCATTTACACGTGCATGTGTGTACGTACACACGTATAACATGCGTTTCCGCGTACTTACGATCTAATCATAACATCGTAACAGCCAATATTAAATAAAACACAAAATACAGAATTTATTTTAAACAAGCATTTTCTACGAAAATGACGATAGCTGACGACAGAGAGACTACTGTTGCCTGTCGGCAGAATTGCATGGAGAGATGTAGGTAGATGTGCGCGTGCGCATGATTCTTTTCTCATTCCGTCTTATATTCTTCTCATCCTCACTACTTACCTACCCTCCGCTGTGTCTGCTGAGTAAATAAAGAGTCTGACTTGTATCTAGGAGGTGGCCATTTCGAATTTCGACCCACTACGCTGACTAGCCGGAGTGATATTTTCGTGGCTTTGTTCAGTATACGAGAAAACTTCCTTTCGCATCCCTTCCAATCCATTATTCACTGATGACTAAATCATACGATGCTATGAAGTCTAAGCGTTACAAAACGATAAACTTGCTTACTTACTTACATACTCATGGAGCAGAGCCCTTCTTGAGGAGCCGCCATTTCTACAGCTAGTCAATTTCCAAGCACTTATGGAACCAGAAGATTCATTACCGTGTTCATGAGAACACTCCACTGGTCCCTACACTGAGCCAGATCAATCTAATCCATAACATCCCATCCTATCTCTCTAAGAGCCATTTTAATATTGTCCACCCACCTACGCCTTGGTCTTCCCAGTGGTCTCTTTCCTTCTGGCTTTCCAACCAATATCATATGTGCATTCATCGTCTCCCCTATTCGTGCTACATGCCCTCCCCACCTCATCCTCGTTGACTTGATCATTCTGATTATACTTGGAGAAGAGTACAAGCTATGAAGTTCCTCATTATTCAGTTTTCTCCAACCTCCTGTCATTTCATCTTTCTTCGGACCAAATATTCTCCTCAACACCCTATTCTAAAACACTCAGTCTGTGTTCTGGCCTTAATGTCAGAGACCAAGTTTCACACCCATACAGAACCACAGGCAAAATTATAGTTTTTTAGATTCTAATTTTTATGTTCTTGGACAGCAGACGAGAATACCAAAGATTCTGGATTGAATGGTAGCAAGCGCTACCCGAGTCCAATCTCCTCTTAATTTCCTATTGAATCAGGTTTTGATTTGTAATTTTCGTTCTCAAATATCTGAAAGTGCCACATTTTCAAAACACGTTTCCTCTCTTTATGTCATGACAAAAAGATAAACACACAAATAAAAGTCTTCTTCTTTATCCGTATCCTCCCTGCCTACTTTCCTCAGACACCATTTCAAAATCGTTTATCAGCGACATATTCTATCCAAACACATAAGGAACATACAGAACTGCAATTGTTATCTGTTGTTTTGCTGGGGCGTGAAACTTCATCTCTCGCCTCAAGCGATGAACCAAACTTCCGGATGTTTGAGACAAAGTGACGAGGTGAAGACATAGGATGGAGAAAATGACATAATGGGAAACTTTGTTTAAATTATTATGATGTGTTATTGTTGTTGCCACACAAAACAACTTTCGTTTATGGGCACTGAGTATCGTTTTCTTTTCAGTGAAAGTGCGTGTGTGCTAAAGCCATCACATACGGATGGCTGCATCCAGTTTGAAAATACCCACGTTTTCACATTAATGGAATTGTTTTGCGTGTTCCGTTTTTATGAAGTCACGTAGAAGTGAAGAGGAATACTGATAATTTCTTCAGCTGATATCATGGAATCTGACATTATGGGAAGAACACAGATAAAGGTATTTGAGAACAGGATGCCGAGATGAATATTTGAACAAAAGAGGGACGAAATAATAAGAGGTGGAAGAAATTGCATAATGATGAGCTTCGGAAGTTGTACTCTTCGCAAACAGAATGATCAAGTCAAGGAGTATGAGGTGGGCAGGGCGTGCAGCACGCACGGGGCAAATAGGAATGCATATAGACAAAAGGAAAGAGACCAGTAGGAAACCTACACTTAGGTGGGAGGATAATATTAAGATAGATCTTAGAGAAATAGGATGAGGAGATATGGACCGAATCCATCTGGTTCAGGATAGAGACTAGTAGAGGGCTCTTGTGAACACGGTAATGAACCTTAGGGTTCCATAAAATGCTGGAAAATTCTTGAGAATCTGAGCAACTGGTAGCTTCTCAATAAGGACCCAGCTCTATGGAGTTAGATATCATGCCATTCGCATATGTATCCATTACTCCCGTTTGTCCAAACCGCAGGTATTTTTTTTCTTCTTTTATTGCTAGTGGGGTGGGACTAAGTCCCTTGTACCGCGGCCCCTTGTGACCTATTGTACCAGCCCCAGATGATAGGTGAGGGTGATTGTGGAGCAATTGGTGAAATGAAGATTGGCAGGGGAAACCGAAGTACTCGGAAAACCGCAGGTAACTCTTAAATGTTCCTAGATTTCTAACTTTTATATACACTAAAACTGATTCTTAAGAGCATATAATCTGTGACACCATTTGTACCTTATCCCAAAATAATGAGATGTGAAATTCCAAACACTGTCAAAGTGATATATGAATATTACTTTGAGGTTACTATAAGATTACAAAGCAACTATTAAGTAGGTACAGAGGTTTGTACAAAGTCGTGAAAAGTGTCTGGATTTTGTATTATCAGTAATTAAGGGACGGTTACGAGTAAAAAATTGAATGGCATGTAGAAATTCAAAGTAGATTTTACAAAAGAATTATTTTTTGCGATCTTAAATAACTCATTGAAATTGACGTTGTTTTACTCTGGACGCAAACCAACTTATCATATTGCGTAAGAGTGTACATTACACGTATTTCCCCTTATGTTCAGTCAAATATTCACCATATCACAAATCATTTCAAACAAAATTCCTGATTTTAATGAGTTCCATATTTTGTCGTACAGTTTACAAATTTCATGTAAGTTGTGTCGTCTTTGACAGCCTCTGTGGTCTAGTGGTCAGAATTCCTGGCTACAGATCCAGAGGTCCCGGATTCGATTCCCGGCGTTACCAGATTTTCTCAGAAATAGTGGGTCTGGAACGGGGTCCGCTCAGCCTCGTGAGGATAACTGAGGAACTATTTCAAGGAAATAGCGGCTCCGGTCTAGAAAACCGAAATTAACGGCCGTGGGGAGTCGTTGCGCTGACCACGCGACAATCTCTGTCCGCAAAAGTTGGCACTTAATTCGCCGACAAGCGGCGGTAGCTCGGCAGTACAGTTTGCTTGCGGACTAAAGCCACGGAGTTTTCTTTTGTGCCGTCTTTGGGAGGACACTCGTGTTCGATTTGAGATTCGTGTAAAGTAGAGGCTATATTGAAAGACTGAATGGGACTCGAGGGTTATTTACAGCACGGACGCTTGGATCGTGGGTTGGAATCCCACGTAAGTCATGGATGTTCGGTTCGTGTTGTCCTGTGTTGTGTAGAGGATTTGCGAAGACCTGACCACTCGTTCAAGGAGTCCTACCGTCTGTGAGAAATGATTATGGAACTCAATAAGAGGGAACCTCAACATCTCACAACCCTATGGGCCTCCACGGCCTGTTACAGGGATACCTTTACATTTTACTTTTACTGAATAAGAGGTCAAAGCTCTGAATGGGCTGGAAGAGCCATTGAAGAAAGAAAGAACTTAAATCATCTTGACAAATCCCCATTTATATTCAATGACGCCTGTGAATGATTTCACGCCGCATTTCAACTTTGGTACGTCTAATATAAAAACAAATACATGACTGATTATAACATACACTTTATAAGTGCTGTGGGGCATACATTTGCAAACACACCATCTTGAGATATTGTAAACACGGCATTGTAATAAACGTTACTGAAAGCTTTCTATTAAAAGGATTGGTTATGAAGAGTGCTGTCGTCTCTTATATGAAGCCGTGTAGTCTGATAAGAGTACAGCGATGTTTCGGAGGAATGTAATGCATCCTTCTTCAAAGGAGACCCTAAAGATAGTAGCAGTACGTTACTATACCATGTTACATCCTGGAACCTAGTACTGTGACATGACGGCTGAAAGCCGGAATTGTGGAGCGAGAACACGTCCATTGCTGAGTAACGGCTCGGAAATCACGTTCCCGCTACTACGTATAATAACGAAAGAATCGTTGCCCGGTAGCAAGTTGCTAAACATACAGAATAACGGAGTGGAATTAACTGTTCGACATGGTGACATACAGAGGGGTCCAAAATAATGTACCCACTCTTTGATAGTCAGTATCTTTGGAACAAAATGATATGTAGTTACAATTCTTGCGCGGAGAGAGAGAGAGAGTCATTGTATGTGTTCGAAATGACCATCATCAGAGGCTAAACAGCGTCGATGCCGCTGAACTACTGAGCGAACTACAGCTGTCAGTGTGTCCGGTGTGATGGCTGCACACGACGCTTCGATGGTTTCACCTAGCGCGTTCAGTGTAGCTGGCTTTTGTCGATAAACTTCATCCTTCAAGGTTCCCCATAGGTAGAAGTCGAGAGGTGTTAGGTCTGGAGACCGTGGTGGGTACCCAATAGTACGTCTTGGACCTATCCATCGTCCAGGTAGAGTATCATCCAATTACGCCTTGACAGCTCGATGGTAGTGAGGTGGAGCACTATCTTGTTGTAGGTAAAATCTCATATCTCCAAACAGCTCTCGAATGGCAGGGAAAATCGATGTCTGAAGCATATCGAGATACATCTGACCAGTGTTGCAACACCACAGCACTGGAAGCTGGACTTGTTACTATCCGTGGTCGCCCAGATCTTTGCTTATACACGTCATCAACAGTACCGTCGGCCTCAGATTTATCCCGAATACGGGCAGTTGTTCGACGTGTTGGTGGCTGAGTTCCAAACTCATTCTGCCATTGTCGTTATACCTCTTTAATGTTTTCGTACTTCCAGTACCACTTCAATACAGCCATGCGTTGCTCAAAGAAGAACACTTCAGCCATTGTTGCTGCTGTCTTCTGCTCGCAGCGCGCACGCGGCACGACACTCACGTGACTCATGTGACCTTCGCCATCTGTTGAGAAAACATTACACTACACTACCGTGCAAGAATTGTAACTACATGTCATTTTGTTCCAANCCCCCCCCCCCCAAAAAAAAAAAAAACAAGACCGTAACTGTCAAACAGTAATACAGATCTGGTCGCAAGCCCCAGATGGGTACTTTATGCCAAGACAGACTGCCGACTGAACGTCGGTCGTAAAATGAGACTCAGACTCAGTCAAGCTGGCACCCATCTTCTCGCGAGAGAGGATGTTACATAAGGACTATTACCGCAAGAGTTCAGTTGTAAAATAATCTCTGGTCGTGGGCCTCAAGGATCCTGAAGCCAAGAAGAACTGATTGACGGTAAACCGCCAGTCGTAGAGTAACTGATTTTGAGTCAAGTCGGCGAAAGAGCAGTCAGGGATTCTTCAAAGAACATTCTTCAGACAGGAGACGTAATTAACTCAGAAGGAGTTCAATGTTTGAGCTGTCATAATTAACTGTAATTGCAATGAAGTGCCAATAAACCCAATTATCCGATGCATAATCCATTATTATTAGTCACGCAAATCCCGATACATGGCATTACTTTTCGCAGTTATCGTTGTCTGAACCGCTGATGTCACAGGATTAACTTAATTAGTATTGAAAAAGAAGCTTGTGATATGTGCTTCAATGTCTAAAGACAGAAGCATGAGATTTCATTTTACGCATAATGCATCATTTTTGTACGACTTCTCATTACTGGCTATCAGCGCAGACAGACGTTTAAGCTTCTGTTAGACTTGTGCCCACACGCAGCAGGCCTAATTTTAATTCTCCACATTTTATGCAGCACTAGGACAGAACTGTCTGCAGCAGGCACATATGTATTAGTGAAATGGTAAGAAAGGCCTGTGCTGTGTACGTTAACCAAATACGAGCACATGATGGGGACGGAACATATGGTTATAATTTAATGTGGATGCTTTTTGTTTTTAGACAAGTTTTCCAATAAGGACACATGCCATTCACATAGTCAACGAATCCTGGGTTTTTGACATCATTTTTGCAATCTTCAAACCGTTTTTGGACGACAGAATGAAGGAGAAGGTATATAATCCAAGTTTTGTTCTTTCTTTCTCAGACTAGATTAAAGAATATATTACTGTATTTAAGATTAGAGTACCTTCTTCTACTGTGATTTCTCTCTTTCTTTTTTACTCTAATTTAGATAATGGAATGGCCGATCACAGTGGCCGCACTGTCTAAGGCATGAATTGTCTTCGCCTGCCTGAACGCTGGGATCGTGGGTTCGAATCCCACTCGAGCCATGGATGTAGTTGTGCATTTATTCTATTTGTGTTGTTCTGTGTGTAGGTAGCTGCCTTCCGACGGGCTCATCCCCCGTCAAAGGAGTCCTACCGATTATGTATAGATCAAGAAACTGAGGAAGCCGCCAAACTAACAAAGGGCAGTAGAGCCAAAGAAAAATGCATAATAGAGTAACCCTTTCTTGTTCAACGCTTCATTTGTTCCATTGTACACTTCGTTTTTCATTGTGCATTGCTATAAATAACATGACTGAATAGCTGCACTACGTACCAGAGTAAACACAGGCGTTCTTTGTTCCGTTTGCATTTGCAGTGCTACGTCAGTATAGCGAATAAACGGAATTCGATTCTTGACAGGTAGAAGAGAAACTTCTCCAATGCTTATAGACGGGTTCTGGGGTCCACCCAGCCACTTATGCAATGCGTACCGGGGGCTCTTTCCCCGGGTGTAAAGCGGCCGGGGAGTGAAGCTGACCACTTAACTCCGTCCAGCGCCGAGGTAAAGAAAGCTGGAGCTATGCCTGCAGGCCCCTACGTCTTAATGGCCTGCTGCTTAATTAACTAACTGCATTTATAACTTTACCGTTACTTAGCTGTTGCAAATAGCCGTATTAAAATGTCAACAATATCAAATATATTCTAGGAAATACTTTCTTTGGCCACTTTGATTATTGTTGCTATGGTTACCAACGATCTTATAGTTACTAATGTTACTATGGTTCTACCATGTTACTGTTGAGTGCTAAGGATACCGGTTTTCAGTAGTGGCATTAACATGGTTCCATCTCACTAGTTTATACGTCCGCCATGTTGTTACCAACTGTAGGAAATTAAAATTTAGGAGTTCTTAATGACCTCGAATGGCGTAATGTTAACATAAGATACACGTATTATCAAAAGCCGGCTAGCTTTTCTCGACTTGAGACAGGTGGGCGGACGGACATGACCCATTTTAGGCATTTTAATATATATTTTATGAAGAAAACGTGTCTCAATCCAACGCAAAAATGTTTGAAACACATGAATATTGAGAAAGAACTTCAGTCACTCACTCGCTCATGGAGCTGAGCCCTTCTTGAGAAGCGGCCAATTGTGCAGTTACTCAAGAACTTCCCAGCATTTCATGGAACCCGAAGGTTCGTTAGAAAGAACTTCATCCCGCTTCAAATGCTCTACTCATCTCTTAAGTTCTCATTTCATATTTTATCAGCGTTCGGCAGACAAAAAATTTCCGTTCTCCTGACTGAACACTCAACTATATTCCGACATTTAGCTATCACTTTCGTTCAGTAAGGTGCCGAATACATTAGTCTTATATAGTTGAATGTCTGTGAGAGTTTAATGAACTACATGTTTCAGATTTACTTCCATGGCCAAGACTTCGAATCCCTGCATTCCCACATAGATCCTAAGTTTCTACCCAAGAGATACGGCGGGATGCGTCCGGAATATCGCTATACGGACTGGATTCACAATTTCCTCAACAACGAAACGATTATAGCAGGTGAGCACGTTCTTTCATTCGGGCATTTCGTTTTAAGAAAGTCGAACCGCAGTCTCTTCAGTTAGATACAGAGATGCTTCCCTTAAAAATTCAAGAAATTGTATGTTACAGTACAGTAGACTTAAATACACAACATGACTTATGCGAAATAAAGAAAATAAACATTTGTCTTGAAGATCATTAGCTTCTGGGTTGTGATATTGTGTAATCTGGTATATCGGTACAGATGTTTCGGAGAGACTTGTTGTCTCCATCTTTAGGCTGGAAGAGTGACCCTTCTACCCAGTTTGTTCCTCCGAAACGTTTCTGACTTCCTATCAGACCCTATGGCGTCACAACCCAGAAGATAGTAATCTTCACAGTCACCTCTAGGAGAACTTAAATTTGTCTCTCAAGTATATATCTTAATCTGTCATTTTAGAGGTAATATCTTGTGTTCGATTTCCCTTGTTTAAGTTTTACACATTAATAATATGAACACTTAACTGCTTGATGGCGTAGTGCAGAGGATACTGTGACGTATAGACCTATTGCTAGGCAACGACTCGGCAAACACATTTTCACGGGAACCAACGCACCCAACAGTAGGACGTGTTGCTTAGAAAACCGGTCAGTAAACACGTCTAAAATAATACGGGACAATAGAAGACGGCGTTTTCTGTGGGATCCGCTCCGAGATCATATAACGAGAGGTTCCAAGGGAGCAGTTAGTAATTGGCAGAAGTTGTGAGAGTTCGGTTGAAGAATTCACTTGAGTGAGTTGTTGTCAAGAAATTGATCGAATTCTGGAGATGGCAGTCTAAGGTGATAGAACAGAAATGGCAAGAAAGGAATTAAACTGTGACAAGAAGACTTCATGTTTGATCTGAAGTGATAGTGATAGACTGTTATGAAATCCCTTGCCATGATACGGCTAGTGAAGACTGGTAAATTATGTAGATCAGTGAAAGGGCTGTAGTTGCCTGTAGTCCCGAGTTGTGTGAATAAGGTGTCAATAAATCGAATTATCCAATCCAGAACCAATCTTGTAAGACAGTCACAACACTACAGCACATGACAGTACTTATAAAATTGACCATAAAGGGACTGGATGGGATTCAGTTGATTCAAGATAAGGCCTAGTGTCAAACTCATGGAACCATAGCCAATCACGTGGACTTGCTGGATCGACTGGTCTAGCACCAGTTATACATGGTAGAGTCATTAAGTTCGTGGGATGTGTTTTTATCGCATCTTATTACAAGGTATTCACATACACTCACACAGATCCACATCGGCCCTCAAAACAGTTGCCATTGGCCGCTATGCAAGTCTGCCAACGTTGATATAGCTGTCGAAAACATTGCTGAAACATATTGGCAGTAAATTTCCGTACGGCGCTTTGCTGCCATTCTACGAACTTATTGACTGTGGTAGTGTAAGTAGGGTTTGTTCCATGGAGTTATTTATTTTTGATAGTAGGAGTGACTTTGAATGATGGAAAGTACTTTTTCAACCGTGGAAGTGAGTAAAGTGATATGTAGCAGGCTATATTGTGTCAATGTTTTGGACACCATCTGAGAATTTCTGCAACCCGCCTAACCTCATAAAGAACAGTTATATAGAAGGTGTCTTCCCTAAAGAAGATACATAGCTACATTCATTCTTTTTTCTGAAACTAGATCCGGTTCAAGGTCTTACGACATTGAAGCAGGTTTGCCATTTAATTATGTAAAAGAAAAAGAAAAAAAATATGTTCAACTCACACGTAACTGCGTAAGTATATTTATAATTACACATAACAATTTGAAAACTTATATCAAGCTTATGTAATCGTCTACAGTGAGGAATTAAGACCTGTTTACTGTGTGGTTACCGTGATCTGATAGATAATACGAACATACGAAGTTGTATCGGAAAGTTCCCGGACTGTTTGTACCTGCCTCGGTGAAAGAGGATGAGAGGGAGGTCGAGGTCACACTTCCGAAAGCTTATTGCATCAAGTCTTCCACGTGACACCGCTCTCTGAACAAACACTGTTTTTACACGAGTGCCTTTTCGACTTAGTGTTTCGTTTTTTCAGCGATGGATAGCAAAATCGAGCAACGTGTCTGCTGCGTAAAGCTCAGTAAATCAGCTACTGAAACCCTAAAATGCTTCATGAGGCTTTTGGAGAACATTCTTTAAGCCGGACAGCAGTTTTTGGACGACATTCATAAAACGACAGAAAATGTTGAAAATTTTCGAGAACTCATCAACGAAGACCGTCGCCGAACAATCCATGAGCTCGCACACACCGTTTGGATCAGTTATGGGCTTTGCCAATGGAACGTAACAGAAAATTTGAACATGCGTCGCATTGCTCCTTCATCACGACAACGCCCCGCCCAAACGTCACTGAAAGCCACAGAGTTTGTGACTAACAACAACGTGGTTATCATTCTCCATCCCCCTTACTCGCCGAACTTAGCCCCCTGTAATTTCGCCTATTGTCCCAATTTGAAAATGAAAGTGAAGGGACGACGTTTTGAAACAATGCCCGACATCCAAAGGGCATCACAAGCGGTAATCGACATCATTAAGGAAACTGACATCCACGGTGCTTCTGAAGCGCGAAAAGAAATCATGGGATCGTTGTATACGTTCCCAAAGAGACTATTTTGAAGGGCATGACAGTCAAAATTGAGCGAGTTAAACCAACATTTCTTTTTTGACCTAGTCCTGGAACTTTCCTATACACCTCGTATATGTATAATGTAAAGGAGAAGTATATCGGACACCTAACTTGCGTTACTGACATCAACGTTTATGATGTAAATTAATGAAAGCTACTGAGGTACTAACATATGGAAGTGAAGCGTGGACAGTTAGAAAGGCAGATGAAAAAAGGTTGCAAGCAGCAGAGATGAAACTGATGAGGCCAACTGCTGGTTTTACACTTCTGGACCACAAAAGAAACGAATTTTAAAGACTTGAAAATTTATTCAACATTACAGTGCCAGTTGGAAGGACCACATTGAAGGACTGGATTGTAACAGAATCCCAAACAAACTTTTGCTCTACAGACGACATGGAAAAGCGTGTGAAACCGTAACAGGCCGCCTGGCCTAGTACTTGATGAATATGATGATGATTTTTAATAAACGCCTACATTCCTCATTGTTTCATTAATTAACAGTACATTACTGCCTTCTGGGATGCTTGACGATGTTTCGGAGGAACGTACTGCGTCCATGTTCGTTGTAGAAGAGTAAGCTGATCTTCGAAAAATGTGGTATAGATATAAGAAGAAAGGCTGTCTGACTAGGAGCCCGTAGCGAACCAATCGGATTAAGGAGAACCGGGAGGAACAGGAGTTCTTTAAACTTCCGTTATTTGCAAGATTAGAGAGATGGCAGATAAGTGGGTTCAAGTGACCAATTATTTGCATAGGGCGGTAAGGACAGACGGAGTATAGAAACCTCACATATCTCTGGACTGTAGAAGAAATGGATATTTCAATACACCCCAGTTTCTTTCCCATTCGAACCACCTCTGTGGTCTAGTGGTCACAGTTCCTAGCTACAGATCCAGAAGTCCGGGTTCGATTCCCGGCGTTACCATTTTTTTTCTGAGAAGTAGTGGGTCTGGAATGGGGTCCACTCAGCCTCGTGATGATAATTGAGGAGCTATTCCAAGAAAATAGCGGCTCCGGTCTAGAAAACCGAAATTAACGGCCGTGGGGATTCATTGCGCTGACAACGCGACACCTTCTATCCGCTGAAGTTGGCACTAACTTCGCCGACAAGTGGCGGTCGCTCGGTCGGTATTGTTCGCTTGCGGACTAAAATCACGGAGTTCTTTCCCTTTCCCTTCGGTTGCTTTGTTCAGGACTTCTAGCCTGGCTGTTCCTCTTCCTCTGTCCACAAATTTTCCCACATTTCACTTATTCTTGCACCCTAAAGACGGAGATAATATGTTTCTCCGAAACGTCGGAAGATATCTACCAGACTACAGATGACAGTATCTTGTTGTTTCGGTGAAAGCAGTTAATTAAACTTGTTCCTAACGTAAATCTCCGTACTCTGTTACAGAAATGGAGCAGCTGGGATACAAGTTTGACTTAGGTGAGGTGAAGAAAATGCTGGATGACGTGGAATTAGAAATAAGTAGCGATAGCAACGTCATCATGACAAGTGAAACATCATCACTATCTAGCAATAGCAGCTCTGTTAACAATAACGCATAGGTTTATGGAGTATCATATTTGTTCCTTAACAAGTTGAAGTAGTATACTTTTGGTTATATTATTAATAGGTTATGTGTTTTATTATATTGTTCAATTTTATATAAAACATATAATAAACCATATTATTCTTTGTTACCTGCGTGTGTCTTGAACTCGGAGAAAGATCTTAATACCGTATTTACGCATGTATAGGCCGCAGCACAATTTTCAGACAAATTATAGAAAAAATAATTTTCTTGGAATATTATTTCAGGAGCAGAACACCCCGTATTACTAATTATGAATATAATTTTTTTAAATGAATTATGATTTCGAATATTTCGAATATAAGCCGCACCCCAGTTTTCCTCTTGAATTTTTGGCAAAAAATGTGCGGCCTATACATGCGTAAATACGGTACTTAATGTCGTTCAGTTCGTCCACAACTATTTGGAGCCTTTTCATGCCCATTAAAGATTTTAGGATTAGTATGTACTATACAAAAAAAAATTCCTGTGTTATTTGAATGATTTGCAGAGTATATATACGTAAAGTGTAGTATACAGACGTCATATATCTATGAAATTACTAAACAGATTACATTAAATTTAGTATTAGGGTCCACGGAAAATTATACGGTTTATTAATTTATTCTGATTTGTGTTAGTTATAAAATCCTTCTATACCCATAGCTTCTCCATATTTTTTATAAATTTTCTGGAATGTTAGTCACCGTGCAACAAATTGATAGACTAAATTTATGTTCCCACTCCTTGTCGTCTTTGTGCAACCTCACTGATACATTAACCAACACAAACGTGCGCATCATCAAAAATGTAGAGACAGAATATAGAACACCAGTGTAACTCATTACATATTACAGATACAAAAGACACGTGCATAACAACGGCATGTTAACCTAATATAACCTAGAATATTGCCACGTATTGGGGTTACCGTGACGAATAATAATGGGTTGTAGACTTCATAACTGGATTTATTGGACACCTCTATTAAATTTCAGTTGATTATAACGGCTCACACATTGAACTCCTTTTTAACGACGTCTGTCTTGTGAATCTCTACTAATCTCGGACTGCTCTCTCCTACTGTCTTTAATCTAATCTGTACTCCTTCAAGTCACGAATCCACTGCCTTTTATAACTGCTAGGAGGAACGCACAGAGGACACCACGTCGAACAGTTAATTGTCCTCTGTTGTCCTGTTGGTTGTCACGGGACTCTTGTGTTCAGTAACTTGTTACCTAGTAACGACTCGTTCCCTGCTACACGTTACAAAAGGAACGCGATTTCCGAGTCGTTACTCAGCAACGGACGTCATGCTCTGGCTTTACTATTCCGGATTTCAGCCTTCACTTCACAATATTCTGAAGCATTTGCATCAAGTTGAAAAGCAGAAGAACGTAATAGAGCGACAGGTTCTTTCAACTCAACACCTAATAAACCTGTTAATGACGAGATAGGTTGAAACACGTAAAAAAAGGTAAAACTATCCCTGTAACAGGGGCCCTGGACGTCAACAGGGTTGTGAGACGTCGAGGCTCATACATTTTTTACACACTAGGCTCACAGATAGCTGTGAGATTTTTAGCCTTACGCACCGGCCGCCTTATGCCCCAGGAATATTCCTGATGCTCATTTCTGTTAGAGGCTGAGTCGAATAAAGGGTCATAGCGCGGCTGGAAGGATTAAGTAATTTAAAAAAATCCAGTGACCTCATCGAGAATTAAACTCGCGACCTTCTGGCTTGTAGCATAGTGCCTCAAACAACTAAATTAGTGCTGCCCCCAGCCGAAACATGTTATGTTATATAATAAAGACACGAAGATGTGAACACTAATGTAAGAAGGATGTTGCGCAAATAGGGAAAGGATTGGGAACAAAAAGATAGAATTCAAAGTGCAACAGAATGCTGCAGTATAGTACTATAAAGAAACTAGTAGGCACTACACGATATAAATGTAGGCTTCATGAATACTCAGAACTTTCATTTGGAACATATCAGGAACTTCATAACTTGTCAGTCGGTTTTTGAATGTCTTGTGATTTATACTGTTCGTTCAGCGACTACATAATCTTTGAAAGCTTCAGAAAGAGTTCATAACATTTTTGGGGTTGATCATGTGACGAGTCTCTTTTTATGTATGTGTTTATGGGTTATGTAAGGACACTTCAAGTAGCCACACTGTATAGCGTCGAATGAACGATTAACAGATGAGAGATAAATTAAAAAGGAAGTGGTCGTGACCTAACGGAGGAAATATCCCGGAATGTTCTTAAAGGAATATAAAAAAAAAGCGAAAATCTCGCTCAGAATAGCTGGCGGTAAGGCCCTAGATTCAATCCGAGGACCTACTGAAGAAGAGTCCAGAGCATAGCTCGGTTTGACAAGTTTCAGAGAGCCGTTGAGTTCGAGAAAGTACTTCTCAGATTCCAAGGCCTACAACTGCACTCAGTTGATAGACGAACTATCCACACGAAAACAAAATAAGTACGTCATATAGTGAAGGTCTGTTCTACAGTAAGGAAGAAACAAATTAGCAAGGTTTCCCGATAATATGTGAATTCTATATTTATGTTAAAGTGCAAGTCACATTGCGACAGACAGTCAGTCTGTTTGTCCTGGTGTCGAACCCCTTCTGTCTTCTTCAGTCCTTTTAGACACACTCAGTGTGTCTTCTATGTCCTTCCGTTAATGTCAGAGATAAAGTTGTGAAACTTGGTCTCTGACATTAAGGGAGGAGACTGAGGGTGTTTGAGAACAGGGTGCAGAGGAGAATATCTGGAGAAAAGAGGGCTGAAGTGATAGGAGGCTGAAGAGAATTACATAAAGAGGAATTCCATAACTTGTATTCTTCGCCAAATATTATTAGAACGATCAAATCAAGCAGGATGAGATGGACAGGGCATGTAGCACGTATGGGGAGAACTGGAATGTAGGGTTTTGGTGAGAAAGCCGGAAGGAAAGAGACCACCAGGAAGACCTAAATATAGGTGGGAGGAAAATTGAAAAATGGGTCTTAAGGAAATAGGATGGGGTGGTATGGATTGGATTAATCTGGTTCAGGATAGGGATCAGTGGCGAGCCCTTGGGAACACTACCGATTGAGTCATATATATTGTGACGTGTTAGAGTGTGACTATAAACAGGGTTTGAATTGGTAACTGGATTTACTGCACACTAACAGCTCGTTACTACAAGTAACTACAGCGCTATCTCTAATTCACACACTAAGTCTTCTCAGTCTGCTATAGCTTCACCGATTATCGTCTGGTAACGGCCTACAACGCCTTGACTTTCTTAACTTCTTGTTCACACCCTTACTGGCCGGCGAATCTCTGACAACTAACTAAAGTCAAAGCCATATTGCAACTGACGGTCAGTTAGTCAGTAAGTCTATGGGGCTCATGACCAGATATTAATTATTATTATTACCGTTTGATTAATTATTATTATTACCGTTTGACAGTTACGGTCTTATTTTTATGGGGCGCCCTCTCCGACGAGAAGACGAGTCTGTCTTTTCCATATGCTGCTGGCTCTTGCCAGTGCGGTCTTTCTCAGGTCCGAGTCCCTTGGGACTCGAGACCATCTTTTACTGTCTCAGATTTGAGACTTCCCTTTTCGTCGCCTCCTACGACTCGCAGGGTCACGGTGGAGGTATTCGACCCCGCCTCCACCACTAACCAAGTCAAGTCAAAGTCACATTGCGACTGACGGTCAGTCAGTCTGTCTATCTTGGGGTCGAGCCCCAACTGGGGCTCATGACCAGATTTTTTTTTCTTTATATGAAAGCTACTGTCCTGTTCATTTGGGGCGCCCTCTCTGACGAGAGGTCGGGTCTGTCATTTGTCAGTCATAGTCTGTGTTAGTAAGTCCATTGTCAGTATTTACATATATTTACAATCTAAACTTAATTCCTATTTCTATGTACAATATATACAAGGCCTCTGTCAATCCAGGCTCGGTACAGCAGATTATGCACTATTTCTAGTAGTATTCGCTACCACATTAGTCTAGTCACTTGAACGGTAGTATGCCTGACTGCCTCCAAGTTTAAGCCTCTTATACTTGCTGTGTCTGGCTTCGCTTTGTCCTATGTACTAACCAATTCTGGAGTTGTCTTACGTACGAGTATAACACCTTGGCACGGGCCGTATAGTTCGAACAATTGTATTGTTGCGTTACGCAGCTGTCGCAAGGACCGCTTAGAGAACAACTCCCAGTTAGTTAGTTGGTGCATGCTAGGAATTCTGTTACCTAGAAACGGGCGTTGTTTACATAGTTAATACTTAGCAACGGGTCTACATGCTAATGGAATTACTGGAATGTGTATTACTCCTGGGTTGTAGTCCGGGCTTGAAAAAGCAGGTTGGTTAGCCTACTGAAAGTTCGATTTGTACATATGAAAGTGTCCAGTATCTGGTTCGACACGAGAGTGCAGTATATTGTCTAAACATGCAACGCCCATGCGTTCAGAAGAAAAGATTCTTCGTTTTAAGGTGCTGATTGTAGAAAGGCGATTTTATTAGACGATCAGTGAAGGCGAATGAACGGTAATACTTGTGTTCAACTTTCATGGTCCGTAAAGGAACTACTACGTACTTATCGTCAACATTGCATTTCCACTTTGCCGTTCTTGTCGAACACAGCTTACACAGTGCATAACAGAGGGAAATTGCATTTCAAAGTAAGCCTACTACGCGAAAGTCGATGTTTACAAAACAGATTTCTGTTCAATTCTCACTAAATATTTACCAATGTTAATTCTTCCCTTCGGTTTTTGCATCGTGTGAATGTGGGCAGTGTTCCTGACTTTTCGAAGGCACACACTGCCTCTGTCATCAGGGTGGAAGTGAGTAAGCTGGATAAGTGTTTGTGTGTATATAGGTTTTTGGTGGAATGGTGTTTGGCTGAGACTTGTTAGCATAACGTCATCTCCCTCCCCAAACCGTGGGTCAGTTGGATCAAAAATTTATGTACACAACAAACATTTACCCATTGTGTTTACCTCGACACTGAAGATAGAGGCAGGATGTGCCTCCGAAACGTTCTCAACACGGTTCCTATCCATAAGGTTCTAAGATCCAATAGTAGAAACATTTTCAGTGACGAACCAATAAGAAAGCCTCGAA